CATAATTACTACAATCACTTTTTTATTCATTATATCACAATTCATTGAATACATTATACAATACTGTGTAAATGATCAAATAGAAAGACTTTCTTATGGAAAAAACTTATATACATATAATTTTTAATCTCAAGTTATTCTTTTATAACTATTTTTACATGATATATTTAAATTCTGAATATGACACAATAAATTCTGTGTAAAATATATAAACGCAATGTATTGAAGATAAGAATTTTTAATACTTGTTCATTTATAAAATTTTTTATGACTAAAAATAAAAATAATTTCACTGCTCAGATTAATCTAATTTTATACATTAATCTGCGATTGCGGCAAATAAACATAAAAATAAATTAAATAAAAATTAACTCGATATCTGAAAAAAGTTATCGTACATTAGAGGTGGACATTTTGAAAAATACAATGTAGACTTTAAGCTTTTTGTTTTAAAGCAGAAGTGCCTGCTCTGGCTGTCTCTGTCGCTGCATGAACATTCTTTTTGCAAAAGAACACTTTTTTGCTTACGCTTAAAATAATCTTATACAACACAAGCCTTCGTAACCGCTCTTTTATGTGCATTTTGTATATATAATGTATGTGTGTTAACGCCACTGCGATTTTCAGATAATCTGCAACGACTATCCTATATTTCAGTTTCAGTTTGTAAACTCCTTCCTATCGCTGTTTTACATCGCCTTCTATCTTCAAGATCAAGAGAGACTCAAAGAGGTGAGGATTCAACTTTCCTGTAATATGTTATAATCATATAAGAACATAAATTTCCGTTTTAGCAATTGGCGGCTCTACTCATAGCTCGTCAAGTGATCGGCAATCTGAAGGAATCCGCGGTGCCATACCTCATCGAGCAACTACGGCTGGCACGGCTGAGCTTCGAACTGTTCGGGGCCTTGAGTCCTAGCGAGGCACGGCCACCCCCAGGCCAGGAGGGTGAAGAGGTACAGGGTGGTAAGGACACCGAGGAAAAGGACGAACGACCTGACAGCGGCAAAACGAAGCAACCGCGAAACGTCAGCCAGGCAGAATTGGAGAGTTCCCTCTACAGAGTAGGGCATCCCACTAATTCTCTACTTAGTGACGTTACGTTCAAGGTTTGGTCTAGATTTAGCCAATAGATCTTTCGTTTTTCTGGGAACACTACACCGCACACGCATATCGTCCTTCGAACCACTCACAATTGAAAACATAATGTATATAGAGATATATAAAAATAAGGAAGGACTTATCAAGCATCTCTCTATCAAGATTATGCTTAATAGATGTTTCAGCCGCCCCGTCAAGGTCTCCTTGAGTTTCGAGGGTGTTATATAAAACTGCGAGTGAATCGAACGCGTCGTATCGTAAATCGACCCATTTATCTCGCCTAAGACCTTTCTGTCCGTTCTTTTCAGACTGCACTCTTCGCATTCTATATTGCATGACGACTGAGCCAAACTATTAATAGCAATATCAATGTCACATTGCGTTTGTAGATCGTTTCTTTTTGCAGAATTTTAATGATTTTTATCCCGTTTCATACCCATTCCATCGACGACGCACAGGTATCGACCAGGAAGGTAATATCACATTCATCCTTTAAAAATCAATCCTTTCTGTCACAAACAATCGCGATTTTTCTTAAAAATGTAAAATGTATAGTATAAATTTAATAATTAAATAATTTTTTTAATGCATTGTTGTAGCGATTATTAATCGATCAAAATATTACTTTTTTATATAAACCTCAATCTTATTAAGTATTTAATAAAAAATAATAAAAGTTTTATATTTTATGTTTCGAATTACAAAAAAGTTATAAAAAGATTTATTCAGCTCCAAGTATTAATTTTTTAAGTAAAATATTTGCTATACATCTTTCAATATTACATATTTTACATTTTTTAAATGATGCAGAGTGACCGAAAGGAACAGAGCTCTATGGTTTATCACGCAGAGCCCATGCATCCTCGTGTTCTCAACTTGTATTTTAGCAAAGTTTCATTTTCTTTAATGTGTGCACGTGGATTCACGCCCAAAACACGATAAGTGTTTTCATTATTCAAAGGCAAAACTAAATATATACTAAATATAAATGTATTTTGTTAGCATCATATTAAACAGACATTTTTATTAAGTTGTTATCTTTTAAATAAACTTGCATTATTTATTTTACTGCCAAATATTGACAATACATAAACAATATATTTAAACAATATATGCAACAGAACTAACAAATCTTATCTTTTTAGCATAATATAGATATTAATATATATAAATATGCAGACTCTTTATATTCATATAAAAGAAACAATAAAATAACTGCTTTTTCTATAGCGGAGTAAAAGCTCTCACCAAGAAATATACTACATTTTATGTAATGTAATTTATAAAATTAATCTAAGACTATCTCTGAGTAAGTTTTGTAATTTATATATAAATAACTTGTAAAAAATATATACAGTATAATAATCACAAAAATATGTTGCCTAAGCTTAATAAATAATGATTTTCAATTTGCAGTATGACGGGGCGTTTTCAGAGCATTTGGAAATGTTATCGCAACTAGGATACGTCTGTCTCTTCTCGTCTGCATTTCCATTAGCTGCGATGGCCGCTTTACTTGGGAATTTGCTCGAATTACGCGGCGACGCGTTCAAATTATGTTTCGTGCTTCAACGACCTTTTGGGCGTAGGGTCTCGAATATCGGTACATGGCAAGTAAGTGAAGAACGATTTTCGAAAGTTCATAATATGCACAAATGTAAATTTGAGAATAAATTTAGCTAGCAAAATAGTTAGAAGAGAATTTTAATAAATATTTATCACATATATCTGATTTTGCCTTATCTAAAATTTAATCTGATTTTACCATATCTCTGATTTAATCTTATATTTATATTTAAGTTGTATTATATTTATGTTGCCTTTACAAGTGTTCAAAGTATTCATTTTAGGTACAATAGATATATGCAAAATAATCATAAATTAAAGTTAAAGTTAAATAGAATGAACTTTTCTTTATATATCTTTGCATGCTAAATCCATCTACGAAGTTAGGAAACACATTGTAGACAAATATAGTTCAATCAATAATTAATTTTGGAACTTTAATAGAACGCCATGGAGGCAATGGGCTTGGTCGCTATTTTGGTAAACTGCGCTCTAATCGGATTGAGTGGGCAGGTGCAACGAATGTTTCCGGAGATGTCAGCAACGCAAACCATTTTACTAATCGTGGCATTGGAACACATCATGTTCGCTATTCGATTTGTGATTATTTGCGCGATTCCCGATATACCTCATTGGGTCGCCACCGAGATGGCTAAAGTGGAATTCTTAAGACGCGAGGCAGTTCGAAGGCTATCTTCGACTCCGTCACCGGAACAACAACCAACGACAGTGATAGGTACTTAATTCATCTTTATCCGATGCTCATCAATGTACACTACCTACCTATCACCTAATACATCAAAGTTATTTTATACATGGAAAGATTTTGTTGGAAGAACTAAAAATATTTACTTAAATACAAATCTGAAAATAATTGTGTTGGTCGATCAAAATAATTAGATAAGAAATTCAAACATGATGAACATGTTGCAAAAAGTTTTGATATTCTAATAAGTTTGTTTTATATATAATTATTTTAATGATCTAACAACATTATTTTCAGATCTATAGCCTGTTAAATTTTTAAATATTTCAACAAAACTTTCCATATATGACTTCTTTGTAAAAATTGAAATATCTTCATACCCCAATTTTATCTTTCCTGATCCAGTGGCTTTTACTATCTGCTTTCTAAATTCCTTGGAGTGGACCCTCACTCTAAAGGGTGATACTTCACTCTTCAAAATGAGATTCATTCTAAAAGCTTTAGAGAGTGCCTATCCGGTATCCTGTTCGCGAATATGATCTCCGCTCTAGCAGCACGAAAGTGTTAATCGCTTTGCCTGTCGCATTACATCCTTCTTCCTACCATCTATTAATTTCGCTCGAACTCAGGGAGATTCGTGGTGAGTCCAGCAGACGGAGAAAGCGAAGAGCAGATGCTTTCCGATCGCGCTGCTTATGCGTCCAGTCGGGCGGACACCCCGACCCTGGCTTCGACCACCACCCACACACCAAGTGGTCCGACAACGCCGAGTGCCGCGTCGGTGCCGAGGATCGCGGAAACACCACCTACGGCCGGAACCCCCGGCAGCGGTGGAAGCAGTAGCGAGACCAGTCCGTTCTTACCCGAGAGTAATTCCAACGTCACCCGGGACATTCGTAACACGCCGAGATGTTCCATACCCGGAGGCGAACGAGGTTTGGTTCATAAAATCGCGCATAAACTGCGATTTTATATAAGAAAAATTTATGTAACGCTTCATCATCATATACAAGTATAACAATTAACACGTTGCCTCTCTGCTACGATCAGATCGATTAAATTTTTTTTTTAATTCTAAAAGTTAATGCCGTAAAATTTTGACATAAGTAAAAAGTTATTGTGTAATTCAATAATTCAATATTTCCTTTCTACTTTTTACTTTATGATTTTCGGAGTCGTGTTTATTATTAGATAAATAGTTAGATAACAATGTAAAAGAGAAAGTATGCCAACAAACAATTAATATTTTTCATGTTTAATTATATTACATAATATTTTATTATTATGCCTATAATAATGAAAATTTTGTAACGTATAAGACACAAAACTTTTAAAACTAAACTACCCACTTCAGTTGTTGTTGGAAAGATGTGAAATTGTTACAGATAAAAGTCTATAGATAAGGCATAAAATTGCTAGGCGGACGACGTGTTAATCGTAATCTTCTTACATCATGGTATTAATGCCTGTCGCAAAGGTTCTGCATGGCAAACCGTGCAAAATACTTCATTAGGCATGGAATGGTCGCATTGACGAAAAGTTTCTCAGTAGGAAGACGCTCGAGGGAGTGGTTAAGCAACGAACCGGAAGCGTCCGGTACCAACGATCAATACGGCCATCATCTGACCATCGGACCACACGGCGGCGTCGATTGGGTACGTCGATTAGGTTTAGAGCCAGGTGGACGAAAATCGAGTGATTCCGAAATTAGCGGTGCCGCTGCAGTGAGCGGACGGGAGGAGGAATTAACTTTGCACAGGTCAACCGATTGCATCGTCTCCAAAGAACTCGCTTCTTCCTCAGACAGCGATCTTCTCAGGTACAAGGAATAAAATATATTCTGTACAGCACAGATCATTTCAGCAATATTGCAGTAAAACATTGAGAACGTTACAGCAATGTTGTCGCAAATATCTTCGCTGTATGGATACGTACTATGATTTTTCTCTGATTAAATACACTCCGATTACACGTCTATTTTATTGATAGCTTTGAATATTTTCTTTATTCCTAACATTGAAAATATTTTTCTTATACATATCCTTTAATCGTTCGATGTTATTCCTTTTTTATTTTCTAAAACTTTTCAAGTAAATCGCACATTCTGAAAAGTAAAATCTCACTCTTAAAAATTAAATTGAGTCACTCTTTTTCAAGACTGGCTCAATTTTCACTTTTTAGTGTAAGATTCCACTTCGAAGAATTGAAAGGGTATATTTCAGTGCTAATACATTAGTTCCTTATTTAAAGATCGGCACCGCCCTGGGCGGCAGCTCATAGAAACCAGAAGTTCCGCTTTTCGCCCGAAAAGGAAAAGGAACGCGAGAAGGTGGAGAAGCAACAGTACCACCAGCAGCAACAACAGCATCATCAGCGGGAAACTCGAGAAACCCGGGAAACCCGGGAAACCCGTGAAACTCGTGAAACGCACGATCATCGAGCGAGCGAGCGGCAGTCTTATCTCGCCGAAAAGGAGAAAGACTCGAGCGGGCTGTCGGATTCCAGCAAAACCATCTCGAGTCAAGAAGAGGAGAAACCGACGAAGGAGGAACGGGAGGCGAAGAAGACGCGCGTGAAGCAAAGCCTGATGAAACGGGCGCGCTCGGTGGCGATCTTCTCGCTAAAGCTGAAGGAACGTCGCGCACGGGAGGCCGAGCTTAAGGCCAAGGAAGCGGAAAGGGAGGCCAGGTGGCAACAGCCGCAATCGTGCGTCGGCGGCGAGCTCTCGTGCATCCCCATAGAAAAGCTTATCTCCGTGGACGACATCGCGGCCATGGAAATGCGTCGGCCGAATCATTAGCCGCTTGACGATTCATCTTTCTCACACTTTTATTTCCACGCTACGTAGAGAGCCGTTCGCGTACCGCGACACGCGGATTTCCGCAACCGACGCGACGCGCGACGGCGAGATCGCGTTCTCCGCGTTACCGGACGAGAGAAAAAGGCGCACAAAATCATCGCAGACACAAGGGATCCCATAGACGACAGTTCCGTAGACACTACTCCCGATACCGCTCTCTAGATCCAGGGCATCGAACCGCGATCTCCAATTCGGTTCGGTTCCGGAACGGAGTGCGGCACACTTTCCAAGATTCTACACGGAAAAGGGAATCTGCCAATAGCTATCGAATGTTGAGCAAAATAATTTCATTCAACATTTGATAACTATTACAGACTCTTGTTTTTAGTGTATGCAAATAATGACCATGTTCCATTGATAAGGACTGAAAATCCTTAAACACGGATTTGCGCAGATCTTGAACTGACATCGTGGCTAACGGTATGAAGCTTTAAACATGACGTATCTTTTTTGAAGAGAAGGAAAAATAAAAATTTCGCTAATTTGTAGCGGAATGATTTCGCGGGAGATCGCAGAGTATTAATTTTGGGACAAAAAACAAATTTTACCGATTCCAAAAAAAATCGATGCGATAATTTTATGAAGTGGAGAACTTTACTACTAATTTTCTAATTTCTACTAATTTTAAGAATTTCTCAAACTCCAAATTTTGCAAAACATTTTAATTAGATAGATTATCCTCGGAACACGCATTGGATAGCTGAAATTAATCTATGGCTACGTTAATCTATGGTTAACGTGAAATCTTTATTATGAATTTTATTTCCGATACGCTTTAACGCGCAGTTCCGAAACCGAACGTATATCCATTCCGATAATTTTAATTTCTCTTCGATTCGATGCTCTGCACATTCTCCTAGCCTATTATAGGTCGCTCGACGTCGTAGATCGTTGAGCTCCAAACGTTCCGTTCGTGCCGTCAGTATTCTACGCCGAAACAGAATTATCCTCGGCTGTGCTCCATAACGCGCGTGTAAGGGAAATCCTAATGACGCAGTCGGACCCGGCGATTCGTCGCGGAATAAAGAGATATACCGAAAATGGAATATAAGTCAGGAAAATCCCTCTCAGAGAAGAATGTATGATGTGTCCGGTTACACACTCGCTGAATAGCGAGCCGCTGAGTCGGCGCGAAACTCAACGAAAAATTTTGAAGAAGGAAACTTTGTTGTTGTTGCGGTAATAAATTGTTAATTAATCTATAAAATTTTAGGCATTAATGGATTAAAGAAACTTTTTGCTAAATAGATCTCTACGAAGGCATATCACATTGTCGAGGCCATCCGCGTTGTCGCCGTCGCCTCTCAAGTTTCGTGTCTTCGTCCCCTAAAATCGGACATGATGTAATATGGATGCAGGATGGGTTCGCGGCCACGTGAAACTCATCGGCGATGAAATAATGAGTCAAAGACCATCAGGGTGCATGGTACACGCGAAGCTCTTCGTCCAGACACGAATTAAAGGATCTAGTGGTCGTTTTTGTATATAGCGAAAAAATGTTACGCAGAGAGTTGTAAAATCGGTTTCCATGGCCTAGCCTCATGTCCCCGTCCGCGGCTGAACTTTAGCGCAGAGAGTTGTTGAGTATTACATACACGAATACATGTATACATACACACATACAAAATAAATACAGATACATTACATTTTATTACATTTACCAATTGTTAGCTTAGTATTTATTAATCATTAGATGCATCCACATTGAGCACTGTTGAGCAAACCGATAATCGCATTGTACGTAGCGTACCCTTCGGGAATTTGCGAGACACAAGTGCATTAGATGCAAAATTGATAGATTAGCCGCTTTTCGTAAAGGCAGGTCGGAATAAATTCAGCCGGAAGCATCTGTGTTTGTTAGATGTTTTGTATAAAACAAGAGAATCGAGCCAATAAAATATTCTACAAAATACTACATCGCATTCTTCTTTTCTTTGTTCCAAAGATAAATGTATGTACTAACAGTACACGAGCAGTGTTGCTGCAACTTTTGTGCAACATTTGTGCTGCATGTAAGAACATTATCTGATAATTATGTGCGCAGTGGGTAATTGTGCGCATCCTGGCTTGGTACTTTTCCAATGGATTTTACCACATCATTGTGGTGAAATTTTTACGCAGGAGGTCGTCCTCTTAAGATATAAACTACAAAAGATATGACATAAATACATTACTAATCAGAGAAATACAAAAAAGTGAAGTCACATTTTTTCTTGTTATTTTAGCAGTTAGAAAATAAGGTGGTAAGTTGGTATTTTAAATTTATTTGATTAAAATTGCATACGTTATTAAAATATGTTATTATGTACGTTTTTTAAATTGTTATTCATTAAGTTTGATTAAGAAATGTTGAAGTAATCATATTTCATATCGAGTCAGGTCGTGGCGAGTAATTGTGCGCAAGCGTTTTGAAGTGCGCACAATTACCCATCTTTCATATACTATGTGACTAGCACTCATTTTTTCGTTTTTTTCTTTGCATTATTATTTTATTTTTATTTGTCAAAGTCTATGTGTATTATTATTATATTAGTTTTCTATTTTTGCTTAATATACGAGTATGTAATATATACTTAAAATATATTTAATATATATTTATATTGCATATAATAAATATATTTTCTGATTTTTTGTCAACATTCTATAATTCATTCATTTCCTACGACTTTAGCTTTGTGCACAATTACCCGACGCGCGAGAAATTTTTTCGTTTCTTCCTTTTTACCAAATACAACTTTATTGAATGAAAATTTGTTCGGTATGAGGCTACGTAATGATAGAAGAATGTTTATAGTTTCTATTTCCATACTTATATCGCTTTGAACTTGGAAAATCATTCCAGAACAATAAATTTCCCTTAGGTGCGCACAATTTACCCATTTTCTCTAATGGTAATTGTTAGAAAATTATTTAAGCAATTTTATCAAAGGAGAAAAAGAAAAAATTATTAGAATTAGTTCCGTTGAAATTAAACAACTGACCTATAATTTCCATTTGCAATCCGTCCGGATGTATCCAGATGTTTTATTCTTGTTGTACACGAATAAACAGGTAGTTTGTCTTTGTTCCTGCACTAGACTGCATTAGAACTCCCTTTCTTACTTTCGACAATATCAAACACATACCTTTTTCACTTTAAGTTTCCAAAAATGTACACTCAGCCACAGAAAACAGATGAACTGTGATGACAGAACTATGGATTAAACAGACAGAACTCTGGACATCCAGATGATGATTCTAAACACAGCTTAGCTTTGCAACTGTTGTAAAATTCTTTAACATGATTGGTTTATACATTTATTTAGATCCAGTGAGGAATTAAAGACAAAATCAATCATATTAAAGAATTTTATAACAGTGCAAAGATATTTTATCTGCTGAATGCAACCATTTAAACTGAGGGTTTTTAGTAGAAACTGGCGCATGCGCCTATATAACCTGCGATGTAGCAGCAAGCCATCAAGTTCGTGACGACGTGAGGTCGAAAATGTTTCGTTCTGTTACACGTGAGTTATTTTACCAAGAATTATATTAATTGTCATTAAATGACCGTCTCAATACTTAATCCTGATGTACTTTAGGCATATTGTGCATTTAATCCCACATCAAATAAAATTTCGCGTACATCTGAACCGCGGATGATCGATATCATTTTGAAGCAAACTTCAGTTTTTGCTCACTTTTCGTTTTAATGTCGCGCTATTGCATAAGATTGCACTCTGATATACATCACAAAACTTAATGCGCATTTATTTATTTGCATAGTCGTATAGTTTATTTCGAAACGTTCGAACCGATTAAAATACCGATCATAACCTTGTCAATGCATTTAAGATAATATTTACTAAAAATTTAATTATTTGTATAAATTATTTTGCGTTTTATTTATTCATTTCTTTTTTTATAGATAACGTCCCTCAGGGACTGGTGTCCCTGGTGCGTAATAATGTAGCAGCATCAGGATCTGCTACTGCTGCTACATTGAAGGTTCAGACAAAAGACATGGCTACGGAGACATCAGTGCAGGAAGCAAAGACTCAGCTGCCAGAGAAACCGAAAGTCGAGCCATACAGTCCTTTTCAAAAGTCCAGTAACATGGCAGAGTATGCCTTGGCCAGAGCGGATGATTTACTGAATTGGGGACGTAAAGGATCGCTATGGCCAATGACTTTTGGTTTAGCCTGTTGCGCTGTGGAGATGATGCACATCGCTGCACCTAGATACGACATGGACAGATTTGGCGTGGTATTCCGCGCTTCGCCACGACAGTCAGATGTTATTATAGTTGCTGGCACTTTGACGAATAAAATGGCACCTGCCTTGAGAAAAATCTATGATCAGATGCCTGATCCCCGATGGGTCATCTCTATGGGAAGTTGCGCGAATGGAGGTGGATATTATCATTACAGCTACTCAGTGGTTAGGGGTTGCGACAGGATAATACCTGTGGACATTTACGTACCTGGTAAATTTGCAGTTATATTTGTATTCTTCTTATTTAAAAAAGTATATGTATAATACATATTTATATAATATAAACTTTCAATATTGCAGGTTGTCCCCCAACAGCTGAAGCACTATTGTATGGTATTCTTCAATTGCAGAAAAAGATTAAACGTATGCAAACCACACAAGTTTGGTACAGGAAGTAATGTACCTGACATTATAGTAAAAAAATGTATAAATTATTAAAAAATTGTATGATAATTGATAATTAAGCAATAGAGAAGTTGTATATCATTTAAAAATGTGATTATCGAAATAAATCACATTCAATAAAAATAAATTTTTTTTTTATTACCATACATGTTTATTATACATGTTATTACCATACTTGTTTACTTTGTATGTACATTTATTTAAAAAAGAAAAAGCTGAAACTAGTTTATTTGCATCATTATATTTTTACTTAATGAATTAAATATATCACAGTTGATCATATATATATATGATTAAAAATATATTCTAAAATATTTTATGAAAGCTTGAAGATATATAAAAGATATTTAATACTTTTATTTTTATTAAACATACAATCGCGAATATATATACATGCACTTTATTGCATATAATTGTCACAATGATAATGAAAACGAATAACAATTTTTTAAAAATATATATTATAAAAAAGATATGTAACTCTCTATATATGTAATTAAACGTGGCTGTAATATTATTTGACAAATTTTATTAATTTCATCTTGTAAATAATTGTCTTCTTCTGTCCCTTCTTTTTTTCTCTGTTACTAATTTGTATATCTTAAATTTACTTTTCTGAAAGCTAGATATCAGACTAATCGTAAAATCATGTTAAATCAATAATCTGTACAGTAATATCCATAAGATATCAATATTATATTTATATGTACACATATATATACACAAAACACATACTAGAGTAAATGAAGCTTGTACTTTTTATATTGAGAAAAGAATTAAATATTTGTATAAACCTGTGTTTTATTACATTCACTATTCTATTGTTTACTTTTCTTACTTCTAAAAATATACAAAATGTAGAAAATATGTTCAGAATAATTTAAACAAAGTAAAGAATTTTACACACAAGTTTTTTGCTGTTTAAGTTACCACATTCTAAGGCCCCTTTCTTTGTTTATTTGTTACTGTAACTAATATTAATATATAACAATTACATTTTTATTATATACTCATACAATGCATACATATAGTATCTTAATAAAAATACATGTATATATATATATA